GGGTGGAGAAGAGGGTCCACCTTATGCCTCTTGGTGTATCCTCTGTTGTTTTCCTCATGACCCAGTCAATGGCCACGTTGAACAGAATTGCTGACATGTTTCATTCTTGTCTAACTCCTGTCTTCACCTCAAAAGCAGTGGTACTGTTTCCAACAACGCACTTGAAGTTTTTGTAGAAGCTCTTGATGACCTCCACTATCTTGCAAGGGAGTTCATAAGATCGTAGAATGTATCAAAGACTTTCCCTATGCACACTGTCGAATGCTTTTTTTCAAAATCAACGAAGTTGACATAAAGTTGTCTCTGCCATTCCGTGCACTGTTCTATTATGTTGCGGAAGGCAAATATCTGATCTGTGCATCTTGTTTCTTTGCGGGATCCTGCCTGTTCTTTTCTTAAGCAGCTGTCTACGGCATCCGACATCCGATTAATAATAATCTTGGCCAGGATCTTGCTGGGAATTGATAGCAACGTGATACCTTTCCAGTTGTTGCAGTCTCTAAGAGCTCCTTTCTTTGGTACTTTAACAATGACTCCAGTGCTCCAGTCCTCGGGAATCTGCTCTCCCTCCCATATGGTTTTGAATAGTGGATGAAGAATGGTGGCAGTCAGTTCTGGGTCTACTTTAAACAATTCAGCATTCAGGTTGTCCATTCCTGGAGATTTTCTTGTTTTCCTGCTCTTAACAGCTTTTACAATCTCGTGTTTCTGTGGTGGGTCAGAGCTGATATCAAGATCCAAGGTAGCTTCCTGTATGTCTGGGGTGTCCTCATGTGGAGGCTGGTTTAGGACTTCCCTGAAGTGTTCTGTCCAGCGTGCTTCCTGTTCCTTCTCGATTGTCAGCAGCTTGCCAGCCTTGTCTTTGACTGGTAAACTCATTCCACCATGGTACTTGCCACATATTATTTTTGTGATCTTGTATACGTTGCCTTGTTCGCCTTTAGCAGCTGCCTCCTCTGCCTCAGTTGCCAACTTTTCCATGGTTTCTCTTTTGTCCTTCCTGACCAGTCTTTTAACTTTCTGGCAAGCTTCCTTGTAATCCTCTGCGTACTACTTCTCTTGTAGCCGTATCGACTTAGCTGCAAGCTGTTTTTTCTTGATTGCTCTCCGTTCTTCAATAGTATTCCAAGTACCTTGGTGTATACATTCTTTGTTTGCATTCTTTTCTTGACACCAAGACATGTCTAACTGCTTTCTGTGTAGGCCTCAACAATATGCTTCCATTGGGTATTGACTTCATCCGTATTTTGGGTGGTTTCTTCCAGGTCTTGGAGAGCTTGAAATCGGTTCTTTAGTTCTAGTCGGAAGGCAGATCTCATATTGTCATCACTGAGCTTGTGAACATTAAATCGCGTCCTTGTCGCCTCCCTGGTGAATGTTTTCTTCAGCTTGAGTTTTACCCTTGCCGTCACTAGATGGTGATCACTGCCGACATCTGCTCCTCATCTGACTTTCACATCCTGCAGGGAAGGTCTCCACATTCCTCCTATCATAAGGTAGTCAATCTGGTTCTAGTCCCAGGCGTTTGGAGAATTCCAGGTCAGTTTGTGGATTGTACGGTGTGGGAAGAGGGTTCCGCCTATCACCAAGTTGTTCAATGCTCAGAAGTCCACTAGTCTTTCACCGTTCTCATTTCTTGTACCCGTACCATGTTGTCCCATCGTTCTCTCATAGTTGGTGTTGTCCTCTCCTACTTTAGCATTCAGATCGTTGTTTACTACGATAAGGTCGTGACGAGGTATACCTGTCAATTCCCTCTGTAGCTGTTCATAAAAATAGTCCTTGCTTTCATCTTCACTGTCGTTAGTAGGGGCGTAACATTGGATGATGCTTGTGTTGGTGCACTTTCCCTTCAGTCTCAGTGTCATCATTTTGCTGTTTATCGGTTTCCACTCCATGAAGCATTTCTCAAGTCCCTTTTTAGGAAGATAGCTACACCTTCCCTATGTCGGTTGTCTTCTCTGCCGGAATAGATCAGTGTTTCTCCAGTTGCTGTTCTCAGCCTGCCGGATCCCGTCCAGTGACTTTCACTTATGCCCAGAGTAGAACTGTCAAATTGATCAAAATCCATATTATTCTGTATACACATTCCAAATTATCGAGTACTGTTCCCTTTAAATTGGGGAGATTCCTTCTTCTAGCGCCAGATGACTCTTCGCGACTATTTTGCCTGCATTCTGTGTGCTATTGCTTAACAAACGTAAAAAGGGCCCATTTTGACTAAAGATTGGCTTTTGAAAAGCAGTTTGCTCACTTACTCTGTTATGAGACTATTTTTTTGTTTTGTTTTTGTTTTTTAACAACGAATTTTTAGTTGCAAAATTCTGATACAAACTCTCCCTACGCCGTCTCTTAATACTGTTGTCTCTAGACATATTTGTTCACAGACATTCGTGGGATCTGTAGGCCCCTACATCTCAATAAAGAAAATAACAGTCTCTTTCGACCAAGTCACCATACTGTTCACTGTACAGTGACTGTGACTGTGCAGTGTGTATTCCAAGCAGCTTTGGTGTCAGATGCACATACAACGTACTGGGTGACCTTGATACATGTATGTATAACTTTATATTCAAAATTGACAATTGAAAAACAAAGTTTGCTCAAGTTTTAAATTGTTGCTTAAAATCAGGTTCCAAAATGCTTATTTTGATACGCTGATTTCGAAAATGAAATTATTTAGCTGCGATAATCATTTCAAAAATCCTGCACGCAAAGTTTAATCCCACGCGGTGGCAAACTTCAAAGGAATTTTGAGTCTCAGCTCGCCTCTCCCACTTCTTACTGAGGGGGGTCTATTACAAGATCTGTTAAAAATGCTGTCTGTTCTCTTTAGTTAGGCAACGATGATAAGAAAATACTACAAGATGCAATTTTGTGTGGGGTTTTTTGTAAATACTTCTTTTTAGTGATCTTCAAAATCCAGATAGAAAAGCAGTCAAACACGACTTATTTCATTATCTTTGATACGCTGGTTCCGAATTTGACATTATTTTTGCGATTGGAAGTAGTTTTAAATTTTTATGGACACATTTTTTTGGCGGGCCGCAGGTGTATCGATACCATGATCAATACCATCACTATGAGGTATTCGCTTAGCGCAGTCCCTGTTCCCCGGACATTTTTTTGCTCTGTTTAAAAAAAAGAGTCGCTGTTCCCCGATGTTCCGCATTAGGAACACAGTTGCATCTGATTCTAGACTAGTGGTAGTAGCAGTGGAAGTAACAGTAATTGTAGTTGCAGTTGTCCTATTCCTATTCGGCTTAGATTCTACTATCATTTCATTTTATGTTGGGGTTTTTTCAATGTACTTTTGGGGGGGGTGGGGGGGTTGGCGCTCTCCTCGCATGCTAAATTGGCTAGTTCGATTTATAGTTAGTGCAGTTAAGGAGATAATGCTGTGTTGCCCCCTTCCTCAAAACAAATAAACAAACAAACAAACAAACAAAACCCGTAGGCCTACTTGAAGAAAAGCCAACTCTTACTTCAGCCATCCAGGGTTCTGCATCTTGTTTGTCTATGACGCACCCATGTTTTCAAAGAGACGTCATTTCAAAACTATTCTCACCTGTGCTATGCTCCCAATTAACTTTCTGTTATTTTCGCGCGCGCCATATGTCTAGGCAGAGACGTAGTGGTAGTCTAATCACAAACGACGGACCTGGGAGATGGGTGAATGAGGTCGTTGCAGTGATCTAAACTCCTTTTTTTTCTCTTCTGTTCAGCAATTATCGTTTATTTTTCACTTATTTGTAGTAAGTTCTTCATCGCCAGCAGTGTCTCCCATGTGTGTGTGTTTGTGTTGTGTAGTGGGTACGCTCTTCGCCGTTGCATACTAAATTTGCAAGTTCGATTTCTGAGAGGAAAAGTTTTGAGGTTTTTAAAATGATTTTAATCGAGTATCTCCATGTATCAGCTGGAATACTGTAACCCACTCAGCCTGGATTGGTCCGGGGGTGGGGGGTGGGGTGGACTTCTGTTGTTCTCGCGGAGACATTTTATCACTTTCTTATTGATTGCAGCTCTGAAAGGGGTGACTTATGAGTATACCAGAAGTTTGCAAAGCGCTCCTCAAAGTCACTTCAAGTTAGCTCAAGACTGTTTACGATCTGGAAATTTTCCTTTACTCACATTGTCCAGCATCTGAAAATTTCCAAATCAATGGACCATGCAAGGCCCACGCTTGATAACATTACCACACAATTCGTCGTGTTTCGTTTCTCCATAAGAACTGCTTTCCACTTCACATCTACAGTCTTTGAAATGAAATGATGAAATGGTATGAGTTTAACGTTTCTATGAACACTACTAGGTGGGACCTCCAAGTTAAATGTCCATCTGCGAAAGGACAAAGCCAAATGAGAATTTCGTGTAAAGCGTCTTTCCCAAGGGCACAACGTCGGACCGAGCTGAGGCTCGAAGCCCCAAACCCGCAACTCTAAAATCTGTAGGCCTACATTAGTGATGGGCATCAGCCATTTGGCAGCTACGCAGTTATATCCCCCTTTGTCCTACATTATTTTATCTTGAATCTGTGTGCAAGCAGGCTCTTGTCGCCCATTTGCTCCCTCTCCGCCCATGCCAACTCTCCACCCTTTTCTTCTAGATTTCAGGCAACATGCGTTTGATCTGATCCGGCTGTAATGTAATGTGCAATTTGATTTTGTAGACACATGCCAACGAATATATGTGCTCGCACAAACGCAACAAACACACACACACACACACACACACACACACACA